ACACACCTGAGGCCCAGAGCCCGGGATCCCACCTGCCCTGCTCAGGCCCCCCCCACCCGTGTGTCCCTAGCAGGGAGGCCGCTCGCTTCTGGTGACCACAGCCGCTCTCCAGCCCTCCATGTCCCCCTAGCCCCTGCCTGCCCACGCCATGTCCAGGGGGATGGCAGAGCTGCTAAAACCCTTGCCCTTCAGGGAGCCCCTGGAACCCTCCACGCCCCCACCCAGTCCCGCATGCCCTGTGAGGCACAGGAAAGAGCACCTCCCCAGCAGGGCACAGAGACTCTGAGAGGCTCACGGCCACACAGCAACAGGTCCCCGCCAGGCCTCTTCCCAGAATGCTCTGCTGCTCTGCGGGCTTACGGGGTGGCCTCAGGGAAGACCTTGGAGGCGGGGCAGCAGCTCTGCCAGGTTGTGCAGCAGACCGGAGAGACCCCGTGCCCTCAGCAGAGAGTCAGCTGAGGCAGGTCTCCAGCCCCCCATCCCTGAGTACCCCCCAACTTTGAAGGGGGAGCAGCATAAGCCTGAGGCAGGCAGAAAGACACCCTGAGCCTCAGGACCAGCGTGGCAGAGGCAGGGAGGCAGGGCAGTGCCACGTGACAGGCCGCTCCATTCGGGCAGAGGGAGGAGGCAGGCAGGGCTGGAGGGGCACGGCCGGAGGGGGCCCTGATCTTTAGGGTTCTAGAGCAAAGCTTCCCGAGCCATGTCGTACCTCGCAAAAGGACAAACTGGTGGCAGGAGCTTCTTCCAAGGCAGCGTGGGACCCTCAGGGAGCACCCACGAACCCAGGTTAGCAGCCACCAGCTGGGGACCCTTCTAGGTCTGTGACTCCAGGGATCCTTGGGGAAACTGAGCCATGCCGCCCATGGGAAAGGCTGGAACAGCCTGACTGGGGAGCTGGGTGGCGAGGCTGCACTGAGACAGGTGGCTCCTTGTGGGGACCAAGGTGGCCCTCAGCAAGACGCAGTACTGGAGGGGACTTGGAAAGGGAGGCCGGACTGGAGCAGGGTCAGAGCCAGGGCGGGCTTCGGCAGCGTGGGAGGGCGGACAGTGGGGGATGAAGGCTAGACAGCAACACAGCAGGTTAGGGCCTGGCCTGCAGGTGCCAGGGCAGGCATCCAGGGCCCAGGACCCTCCACCCTGGGGGCGAGGGGCAGCTTGGCAGACTTTGAGAGCTCCCTGGTGACAGCCCAAGGGAGCCGCGGGGCTGAGGCTGCCAGGCCCAGGCCCCTGCGGCCTCTGCCAGGACTTCTCTTCAGCCCTGGGCTGGCACCATGGGGTGCCTCCCACTGCCGCGCCAGGAGGGGCTGGTGGGCCACCCTCTCTGCTCTTCCACCTGACCTCTGGACCCTGGTTCCGCCTGGTGTCTCAGCAGGTTCTGACAGCAGAAGCAGTCGGGGAGGCTGCTGAGTCCCTGGAACCCCGATGCCACTGGAAGCCAGGGGTGGCGGCCAGAGGGGACCAGGCAGTACAGCGGGGCCTCTTTGTTACAGGTTTGAACTGCGGTCCCTCCCCCTTCCAAGGCCGCAGGCTCCGGCTCGGCCTGGCAGAGTCCCTGGAACGGGGACAGGGGAACTTCCGCAAGGTCACACAGACAGGGGCCCAGGGTGCCCCTCTATGGACCCCCAGCTTCACGCATCCTCCAGCGCTCGGCTTGCGAGGCCGCTGCGATTCCGGGTCGGGAGGGCCCGGGTGGCGCGTCGGCATCAGGAGCCCGGGGTGCTGGGACGACTGTGCCGCCGCCCTCGGGGCCCTGCGGGG